GAAGGGGGCAAAGTTGTGGGCAGGGCTGGGGTCTGTACCCTCCCCCATTGCCCCCTAGGCGCAGGGATGTGGGTGCTGGCAGGCTGGTGGGTGCTGGCGCTGTGTGCAGTGGGGGGGGCTCTGGCCAAGCCACCCCCGGAGAAGAAGGACCGTGTGCACCATGGCAAGGAGCTGAGCGACCACCAGCACGATGACAACCAGGATTTCCAGTATGACCACGAGGCCTTCCTGGGCAAGGAGCAGGCCAAGACCTTTGACCAGCTCACGCCAGAGGAGAGCCAGGAGCGCCTGGGGTGAGCCGGGGCCCCGGCCAGGCAGCCAGGAGGAGACCCAGGCAGCCAGGCTCCCAGCCCCCACCATACACCAGCCCAGCAGACCCCATGCCCCTCCCAGAGCTTGCTCCTAGTGTCCTGTGCTCCCTACACCCCCCCAAAGCTGGGCATGGAACCCAGGTGTCTGGGCTCCCAGTCTACCACTCTGCACTAAGCCCAGGAGATGCCGCTACCCTCCCAGAGCCAGGAATTAACCCAGGCATCTGGGCTCCCAGGCCTCCCTGTTCCAACCCACTAAACCCCACTCCTGTCCTGGAGCGATGAGCAAACCCAGGCATCCTGTCTCTCCGGCCGCATGCATCACCCCACTAAACCCCAGTGCCCTCCCAGGGCCTGGTATAGAACCCAGGTGTCCTGGCTTCCAGCCTCCACTCTGCTGTAACCCACAAGACCCTAACTCATCTCCGAGAGCTGGGGAAAGAATCCAGGCATTCTGGCCCCCAGACCCCTGCCCACCATACTCCACTCCACTCCCAGAGCTGGGAGTGAACCAAGGTGTCTTGGCTCCCAGGCCCTGCAGGACTGAAGAAAGAACTCGGACATCCTGGCTCTAACCCTTCAGAGAACTGCACTTCTTGGGTGCAAGGAAGGGGGCAGCCACTGGAGTTTCTTGGGGCTCATGCATATGCTGCAGCTTGGGAGACAGAACCCAGGTGTCCAGGCCTTACCTACCCTCTCCCCTGTCCCTGCAGCAAGATCGTGGATAGAATAGATGGGAACCGGGACGGATTCGTGACCCAGGCGGAGCTGAAGGACTGGATCCGGCACACACAGAACCGCTACATCTATGAGAATGTGGACAAGAACTGGGCTGACTACGACCGGGACCACGACGGCCGCATTGCCTGGGCCGAGTTCAAGAATGCCACCTACGGCTACTATGAGGGTGCACCTGGACGCTGGGGTCCTGCGCCTCGCCTCGCTTGCGGGGAGGGAAGGGGGCTGGCAGCTGGCATGCCTGGGTTCTGTCCCAGCTCTGGGAGGGGAGAGGTGTCTGGTAGGATAGAGCTGAGAGCCAGGATGCCTGGATTCCATCTGCAGGTCTGGGAGGGGCCTGGAGCTGTTGGAGGAGGTTGGTGGGGGGCCAGGGGGTTGAGGACAGTACAGTGGCCCTGACCCCAAGCCCCCAGTGGAGCTGCAGCAGGGACCATGGGCATGGTCTCTACTGCCCCGTAGTGGTTGGAGAAGGAATAACTCCTTGGTGGGTGGCAAAGAGGACACCTGGGTTCTTTGTGGGGAGTGAAGTCCACTGGTTAGGGCCTCAGTTGCTAGAAGCCTAGCTTTGGGAGGGCAGTGAGGTCTGATGGGTTGGAGGAAGGGGGCTGGCAGCCTGGACACCTGGGTTCTCTCCCAGCTGTGCATGGGGAATGAGGTTTGGTGAGCTCTACTTAAGGGGTGGGAGGGTGCCTGGATCCCTTCTGTGCCACAAGGATTTGATACACCTGCTCCCCCCCCCCCAGGTGAGGAGTTCAGTGACCTGGAGGACAAACACTCCTACCGGAAGATGCTGGTACGGGATGAACGGCGCTTCAAGGCAGCCGACAAAGATGGGGACCTGGTGGCCACGCGGGAGGAATTCACAGCCTTCCTGCACCCTGAGGAGTTTGATTACATGAAGGATGTTGTCATCATCGTGAGTGTCGTGCCTGGACACCTGGGTCTAGTCCCTGCATGGGGGTGCAGTGCAGGGGGAGTGAATCCTGTGGGTTGGAGCAACGGGTATTGGGAGCCAGGATGCCTGGGTTATCTCCCAGCTTCGGGAGGGGATTGGGGTCTGGTGGATTAGAGCAGGGGGCCTGGAAGCCAGGATGCCTGGGAGCCATCCTTGCGCTGACATGAAGTGCCTCTAGAGCTTGGAGCTCAGATGCCTGGGTTCTCCCCTATCCCCTAACCCAATTCCAGAGCCCTGTCCCCTTCTCTAGCCTTCCTCAGCTCCTAACAGCCAACAGGACCCCATTTTGGGGAGGGTGGTAGTGGGGTGGTGTTCTTACGATGCTCAGCACTTTCCCCTCCTCCCCCGGCCAGGAAACCATTGAGGACATTGACAAGAACGGGGATGGCTACGTCCAGGTGGATGAGTACATCGGTGAGTGTGTGTGTGTGGGGGGGCAGGGCTGTGGGGCATTAGTGGGAATTGGAGGGAGGGATAAGAATCAGGAGGCCCCTCTCATGCCCCTTCTGTCCCCCCTCCCCAGGTGACATGTACAGCTCCGAGGCCGGGGAGCCAGAGCCCGACTGGGTGCGCACGGAGAGGCAGCAGTTCCTGGACTTCCGGGACATGGACCGGGACGGACGTCTGGACCCGGCCGAGATCGGGCACTGGATCCTGCCCCAGGACTACGACCATGCCGAGGTGGAGGCCAAGCACCTCATCTACGAGTCTGACAAGGACAAGGTGGGCTGGCGAGGGCAGGAGCAGCTGGGGAGAGGTAGCATGGGGGAGCCAGAGGGGTCAGGCTGGGAGTGGGGGCTTAGGAAGGAACAGGCAAATCTTCCCTTTGGAGTGAGGAACTGGGAAGTGGGTAGATTCAGCCTCCCTACCCCAAAGATCAGTGGTGGGGAAGGGGTACAGGGTAGGTGGATTTCAGATATCCTCCCCTCCACACACACATCATAGGCCAGTACTAAACCTAATCCACAGCAGTGATTTGCTTGATGATTGAGTGACCCAGGAGTGATCAAGGGGCGGGGTGGGGTGGGAGCTGATGAGGGAGGGGCCTGTGTAATTGACCCCATGCTTGTGTGTTGCACCCCACCCCCAGGATGAGCAGCTGACAAAGCAGGAGATCCTGGACAACTGGAACATGTTTGTAGGGAGCCAGGCCACTAACTATGGGGAAGACCTGACACGAAAGCATGACGAGTTGTGAATGATGAAGGCCCGGTTCACTCCCCACACAGCACAAGCTTGCCTTGGCAGGGAAACCCACCCTCTCACCCAGGCACCAAGGACCCCAGGGAGGGATTATTTATTAAAGGGGGATTGAGAGTCAGGCTTGGGGGCAGGGGAAGAGTGGAAGGGGGTAGGAGCCCTAATGCTTGGGTTCTTGCTGTGCCCTGGGGAGAGTGGGGTCTATTGGGTTGGGGAGGGGGCTGGAAGTGACCTGGGTTCCCTCCCTGATCTAAGAGGGGAAGGGGTCAGAACAGGGAGCCAGGACACCTGAATTCCCTCCCCACCACTATTTCCCTCCTCTCCTTTCCCACCCCCCACCCACAAGCACTGCAACACTAACAGTATTAGGGAGCATCTCTGCCCCCAACCTGTGCCAGTGCCACCTCTCTCCAGCCCACCTCCAACCACCTGACATTATGGGGTGACCCACCAACATGGTGGTCAGTGGGTGGGAGCTGAAGCCCCACCCCTGCACTGCCTGCCAAGATGGCTGCCTTTCCCACCAGGAGCTCCTGGCCAGGGCAGAGCTGTTTGTGGACAGCATTGGGGCCAGTCCCATTGATGCATGGGCATTTGGGGAACAGCTGTAGGGGCATGGGGAGCTGAGAGAGGCACCTGGAGCTGTACACATGGGCCAATAAAGACATGCACCACCTTTCTCATGCTAAGCTTGCTTCATCCATGACTGGGGGGGGGTAGGGGGAACCTTGTCCTAGCAGGCTCGGGGGACCTCCCAGCCAGGCAGAGAGGACCCAGAGGACACAGCAGCTGAAGTACCTGCTGGCTGCAGCTGGATGTCTGCGTCCCATCTCACTGCCTCACGTAAGGGCCTTCTGACAGTTTATAGCCAAGCTATGGGCAGGAACCCAGATCTCCTGGTCAGTCTGAGACTACCCCCAGGCAACAGCAGGTAGGCATGTGGGACCCTGGGAGAATAGGCCAGGCCCAAACCCTTGAACCGGTAGATGTAGAGGCAGAGAGCTGTTTTTGGGATGTCTGTGCCATGTGTTGAGCCTGCTTTTTCCTCGGGTCCAGGCAGCTCTGGCAGGCATGTTCAAACCCCACTCAGGCAGTTAGGGGGGCATGGCTGGGCCTTCAGCACCCACCTCCAATTGGGAACTCTCCACAGCCTGGCCCAGTTCCTGCCAGGGTCCAGGCAGGTGGGTTGAATGGGAGGGAGGCAATGCCAGCCCCCTGGCACATATGGGATCCTTCCACAGATGCTTGTGTGGGAGACCTTCCTCTGTGTGTGTGAACCTTCAGTATAACACCATGTGCATGTGTACACAAAACCCTTCCATGCAAGACCCTCCTGCATATGTGTGCATGCACAACCCTATGTGAGACCCTCCTGTTTGTGTGCAAAACCTTCCTGTATTGGTGCAAGACCCTCCTGTGTATGCACAAGGTCCACCCATGTATGTGGGCATGTGTAACTGTGAAAGACACCCTCCCATTAGGGGGAGGGTGTCCAATTTCTTCTTCCCCAGCCCTAGCTGGCTAGTGCTCCAGTGCCACAGGGAAGAAGAAAAGAGGTTGTAAGCTGCTACACCATCCCACTACATAGTTGGCACAGAGGTGGGCCAGCTGGACACCTGGGTCCTCCCTCCCCAGCTCCCAGCATGTTAGAGCAAGTTGCTGGACAGGGCCTGGCCCCATACACACAGCTACAATGCGACACCCTGGACCTGTACTTGGAGGCTGCTCAAGAGCAGGGGAAGTGCCCTCTCCAGCCACCTTGATACCTGGCCTCCGCAAACTACATGGGGGTGAGTGACAAGGCAAAGACAGGGACCTCCACCCACCATGCAAGGGGTCAGACCGAGGAAGGTGGGGAGGGGAGGTCTACTTGCATCCTAATGTAACCCCAGGCTAGAGAAATGGCTGCAGAAACACCTCCTGCCCTAACCCCACAACATTAAGAATCTTGCAGCAGTCATGAGGTGCCCCCAGGGTTTAGATGCACAAAGGAGGGGGATGTTGCTTCAGGGCCCCTGCCCCACCCCTGCACACAGCAGGGCCTGGTTTCATGTCTTTATTTTCCTCATGAATGTAACCATATAAAAACATAAGTTATGAAACAGTGACAATGTGTCAGCCAGATTTGGGGGAAGGGGCGGGGTAAAATTATTGAAGGGGGGGGACGGGACAAAACCGTCACCAAGGACACAAAAAGAGGGGTCACCTCCCCTCCCCCCCAAAAAACCCTGCCCCCAGCAAAAAAAAACCCAAGGCAGGATATAGGACAGCTCAGGGGAGACTGGGGTGGTCTCAGGACTGCCCTCCTCCACTACACCAGGGGGCAGCCCCCCACCCCCTCCTTCAAGGCCAGACACCCCCTGCTCCTTGGCTGGAGATGGTGGGGGGCTAGGGGAAGTATTGAGGTACATGGAGTTATGGGGGGAGGGAACATTGTTTAAAAGCAAAAAAAATGAGATAAGGGGCAGCTAGCCCCAGGATGGAGAGCACTGGGGGAGGGTATTAGACCCCCCCCCCCATCTATAGCCACTTCCAGAACACTGTGGGCAGAGGGAGGGGACCCCTCCCAAATTGGCAGCTGTACCCCCCACAATTCATAATATGGGGTGGGAGGTCAGGGTAGGGGGCTTCTCTGCCACCCTCAGTCCCTGCCCCACCCTCTTCCACTACCCCCATGGGGCAACTAGCAGCAGGATCACACAGCGCAATGGTTAGTGAGATGTTGGGGAGAGGGTGGGCAGGAGCGTAGGAGAGAAAGGGGGATGGGGGGGGCGGGGGGTCTGTGGGCCGGGCTAGCGCATCCGATAGTCCGTGGAACACGACAGCTCACAGAGCTGGCCCTTGAAGTCCAGGTCGATGGTGAAGTCCAGGTCACGCTAAGGTGGGAGCAGGGAAGGGGAGACACAAGGGGAGGGGGGTGAGTCACAGGGGTGCCCAAATTTATGCACTCCCATGGTGCAGTGCACCAAGCCCCTCCCCTCCTGATAGCCACAGGTTAGTGCCACTTCCCATGTGTATCTATGGGTGGGTGGTGGCACACCTGGGGAACAGCCCGCCGCTCCTCCAGGGAATAAAACTGGTACTCACATTGTTCTTGGCATTGGGTTTCATGCTGATGGTGCCAAAGATCTCCTCGCCTGTCTTCACTGTCAGATAGTCCTCCATGTAGAACACTGTCTGCTTCCAGTGAGTGTAGGGGGACTCAGGGCCTGGTGGGCAGGAGACAAGAGTGGGTGTCAGAGCAGGGCTGGTAGAGGTGAGGCCATGCCATCTGTGTAGCCCTGCCCCTCCTTGTAGCCCCACCCCCTTGCAAAAAGAACCAAGGAGATGGAACTTTCTTGGCTCTGCCCCTTCCCAGGGGGACATGTGCTCTTTGCCTTAGCTCCACCCCCTATTGCAACACAAGGACAGAAATGCAAAGTTTGAGTTAAGAGGCTAAAAGTCACCAGCCTGGTCCCACCCCTTGTGCCCTAGCCTTGCCCACATATCTTCTGCTCTACCCCTAAACCCTTTGGCCCCATCCCTCCAAGCAACGCCCACCCCTTACTGGTGGAGAAGCCGGTGCGCTTGTGGCAGCGAGTGAACTCAATGTTGAAGTAGGCCACTAGGGCATGGATGTAGTCATTGCGCTTCACTTGGAGGCAGAAGGGTGACGTGAATGTCAGGTCCTCCACCTTCACCGTGTAGATGTCCACCTCCTGCAAAGGTGAAGAGCTGTTACGGTCAGCCCCCAGAGCACCCCGAGACACCCCATCCACAGGGATTGGGGTGGATGGGAACTAGCCAGCGTTCCCCAGTGTGGGCGCCCCATGGCTGGCAGCACCACATATTGCCCACCTTGATGAGGCAGGCATTGGTGACCAGCTGCTTGGGGTCCACAACATCCACGAGTGGTTCCTTGATGGCCACATCCTTGATGCACGACATGTCAAAGCCATACACGTTCTCCCACCCTGACCGAAAGGGGAGGCACCATGAGATCCCAGCAAGAACCACATCCAACCCATACCCTGGGGGCAAGGGAGATCCAGGGATTCTACACCCCACCCCAGCTGCTGGAACCCCAGGCTACGCTAACCATGCAGAAGACCTTCCCACCAGTGAGGTCCCCCCACTCTGACACCAACTCAGAGGCAATAAGAACCACTGAGACCCAAAGGTTCTCCTGTCACGGACAAGAGCCAAGGAGACTCAACCTCCGCCCCCCCACCCACTGCAATCCCAAGTGAGCCATATAGGAAATGCCCCCACAGCCTAGCAGATGGGCTGCCCCACTCTAGGGCTCACAGTGGATCTTGTAGTCCTTATACTGCCGGTCTTCAATGGCCGTAACGTACAGCGTGGCACGGTCTGGGAAGATGAGTCCATCTGGGGTCTGGTGGGAGGGGATGGACAGACAGACCATGATGGAGGTCACTGTAAGGTGGCTTCTGGCACACACTGCATCCCTCCCCTTTGCTGCCCTCAACCAGCACCAAAGGATGGGGAAAGGGCAGGATCTGTGTTCTTCAGGGGACACCAGCCCCGGACACTCACCAGCCACTTGTCACGGGCGTAGATGACAGTGTTGAGCATGGACTCGTAAAAGAGGCAGTAGCCCATCCACTCGCTGATGATGATGTCCACCTTCTCCACCGGCAGCTCTACCTCTTCCACCTTCCCCTTGATGATGGATACCACTGTAGGTGGGTGGGTAGACAGATGGATGGACCCAGCTCAGCATGGGCAAAGGGGCCGGGGGAGGTGCGGGGGGGCACAGGAGAAGCAGGCTGCTTGGCTGGGACAGTTGAATGTGGAGAGACGGGGGGTGGGACAAGGCAGAACTGTGTCCCATGGGTGCCTGTTCCCCACGCTGGGCAGTTTGGGCTGTGATGCCCCGTGACAAGGGCATCAGTGCCAGGGAGGAACACCCCCAGGGTGGGGACAGGGGCACTCACCGTGGTCCAGCTTGTTGGCTTTGACAATCTTGACGGCATAGTCAGAGATGCTGGAGCACTCGATCTGCAGAGAGGGGAAGGCGGGGAGGTGGGGGTCAGCCGAGGCCTGGCTTTCTTCCCCCCCTTGCACTCCCTGGAGGGATCACACTCACCCCAATGACACGCTTAGCCCCTGCTTTGGCAGCAAACATGCAGAGAATGCCAGTGCCACTGCCCACATCCAAGACTACTTTGTCCTTGAAGAGGTGCCGGTTGTGGAACATGGAGTTCCTGTAGGTCAGGGTGCGAACCTCATCCTTCAGCATCTCCTGGGGGCAAGGGGGATCAGCAGGGGGAGCCCTGAGACCGCCCAATGCCCCCTCCTCCAGGGAGGCAGTACTGGAAAGCCACTCTAGCCCCCACCCCTATCAGTCCTCCAGCATCCCTGGAGTGGGCACCCCTCCCCCTCCAACCCCCACCCCAGGGCCCCGCCCAGACCTCGTGGATGCCAAAGTGGGCATAGGAGTCGAAGTAATAGTCCTTGGATGTCATCTCCTCAGCTGGGGGCTTCCCGCTGCCCTCAGGCTGGGTGCACGACACCTGCAGGAGGGGTAGGAACGATCAGACGTATGCATCAAGGCTGCGTGCTCGTGGTCACAACCAGGGCTGAGGCCCCATGGCTGGCATGTGCCCAGCCACTGCCTTGCCCACACCTTACTCCCATGGGCCAATCCAGCCTGTACATACTAGTCATGCCCCCCAACAGACCCACAAGGCCCAGACAGCCCCATACACCCCACAGAGCCACAGGTCCTGCCAACCTGTAGTATACATTCCACCCCCCAGTCAGCCCTGCAAGCACAACTAGTCTCACATACCACCCCCAACGCACCAGAGTGGGGCTGGGTCCCATTCCCCAGCTGTCCCCATCAGACCCACAGCAGAGCCCACTCTGGGGATCTCTGCACCTCGTGTGTCTCCCTAGGAAGGAGCGGGAAGGGGCAGTCACCCCCCACCACCTCACAGACTTGGCCCTGAACTTGTCCTTGCTGCCACCAGGTCCCACCAGCCGGCCCCCTGGGGCACTGCTTTGGGGGAGATCCACTGTCCCCCCACCCTGGGATCCCCACTGGCTACAGCCTAATGTCCCTGGCCCCAGAGACTGGGGAGGGAGGGAGCTGTAGCAGTAAGGACCTAGGGCAGGGCCCACCTAAATTCCACCCCCACCCCCCCACTC